CATCTTCTCATCCAAATGATCAACATAGTTCTTGGAAAAGATACCACCATGTGTCAGATAACACGTCTCCTTATCGACTGAACCAGATGACTATATTTGGTAGGTGCCTTCCTCCTCATTTGAATTTCTTTCCACCAAATAAGGATTTTTCAAATTTGCTCAAAGCTCTTTAATTTTCATTGCATAGTAAGCTTCGTCTTTAATCTTCTCTTTCTTCACTCTGGCTTTGTAAGCATACAATCCCTAGAAAGATGATTCTTTCCATTACAGTAGTTACAGTCGTAACCAGAATCTCTTTTTAACTTCTTCTCAACATTCTTTTATTCCTTCTTCTCTTCCACCTTCTCAAAACTCTTTTGTGGAACACTAGGACTCGAAGATGACTTCTTAAAAGAGCTATTTTTAAAGTTTCCACCAATAGGCTTCTTGCAAAATTTCTTAACACTATTATTTGAATAATATGCCACAGCTCGGTCATCAGAATTCATCAAAAAACATTCTTTGATATCATTTTCTTCATCATCATAACACACCTCCTTAATGTTTATTTTTGAGACTAAAGCTAAGGGACCACCAAAATTCATTTTGTTTGTCTCATCAACTATATCTTTCACTTCAACCTAATTAGCTTTGAGCATGTTATAAAGATTCGACAATGACTAAGTTTCGAAGTTATCTTATATCTTGATAATCAAGCAAATGTTCTTCCATTCCTTCTTCAAACCAAGAATGAAGGTAACGTTGAACTCTAGAGAATTACGAACAACGTTATACCTTATTCACTTGTAGGTCAGCTTATTGAAGCGATCATAATATGCTTCACTAGATTCATTTTCCTTCTGCTTGAAATCATCTAACTTAGACAAACATTGAGTCACTGAACTCTTCTTCGTTTGCTCATTTCCTTGAAATTTCTATTTGACTATTTTCAAGATCTCATGTGCAGTCTTGCAACCATGGATGTAATTGTACACAACCGATGGTAAGGCTTCACACAACTCATGAATGCATCTTTTATCATCGACTTTTCACTAGTTACCCTGAGAAATCATATATACATTTTGACCTGCTGTTTCCACTGCTTGAACACAACCGATGGATGTAATTGTACACAACCGATGGTAAGGCTTCACACAACTCATGAATGCATCTTTTATCACCGAGTTTTCACTAGTTACCCTGAGAAATCATATATACATTTTGACCTGCTGTTTCCACTGCTTGAACACGATCATCACGATATGAACCTTTTTTCAATCGAATGCCACAGATTTTCATCAATTTTGTTCAGATAATCATCCATTTGATCAACCCATTGATCATAGTATTCATGAAGCAGCGTAGGAATCTTCATGGATGAACCAAGCAGATTAGAAAAATTCATAATAGTATTTATCATTCAAATTTTCCATTGATTTGATTTGAAAAGAATAGAATCTTGAAAAGAATGAAATTAGATACAAATGAATGCATAACGATTGCAAAATCGCTAAGTCACATTGATCAATAAAATAATTATGTTTTCACTTTTGAAAAATTGAATCATAACAATTGAGTCAATAAAATGAAAACGGAAATGAGATTATTCAATCGATTAGTCGATTCCTTCTCTGATACCAGTTGAAGAGTTATGAAATCAAGTGTATGTGTAATCAGAGTTAAAATAAACATGAGATGTAAATCTAATTTGGATTCAAGTTATATTAGCCGAAGATGGTACAAGTACATTTGAGAGAAAAGGTTAAACTCAAAGATGCAAAAGATACAAATAACGTATGTACCTACACTATTTATAGTGCACTCAACGGATACAAAAAACTATTAGGACTTCGACTGTGAAAGTGATACATCATAAATACCTGATAAAATGCATACAGAATCGAAGTCATGAAGACCTTCGATATTGACAATCTAAACAATATTTCGACTACTACCTAAGACTTCGATATATCACAACATATTTGACTCTACAATATTTATATATATATATATATATATATATATATATATATATATATATATGTGTGTGTGTGTGTGTGTGTGTGTGAAGGATCATTTAAGAACTCAAATTTTTTTGAGAACCTGAGAACTAAAGTTGGAACGTTGGATTGATTTATTAAATGGCTTGAATCGATCATGGCGTTGTGGTAACTAAGAATGAATTTAATGGTATTCTTTATTTTTATCAATGAATCACAAGGATAAATATGGTATAGAAAAATATGCATCAAGAACTAATTACCATTTAATTAAACTCCCAAAATTACTCTCTCTTTCTTTCTTTCTTTCATTCTTTCTCTCTCTCTCTCTCTCTCTCTATATATATATATATATATATATATATATATATATATATATATATATATATATATATATATATATATATATATATCTATCTATATTTGTCTCTGTCAAAAAAAACCCTTGATCGGTTCCCCCAAAAAGGTTCACCGTCAGAATTCCTTGGTTTCTGTCATTCATCCACATGAGACACACCGAAGATCTCTGCTTCCTTCCTCCCCGCCATCGCATCGCCTCTAGAAGGTGTCATATCTCGCTCACTTTCTTCATCAGCTGCATAAATAGCTTATGTTCTCCCTTAACATATTCTTACTTACTGGCCCAAGATCTATATCCATAGTTGATCCAAATTTCATCGCCGCTATCATCAATCGATGTGAAGTATTATATCAACGAAATGCAGGTACTCTAGAATCTACATCCATTAAATTAGATTTAGTCGATTGTCGGACTTTTTTAAGAGTTACAAATATGATGATCATGTGATGGTTGAGGCTATGGATTTGTTGACGGTTTGTTGAGATGATCCAGTCGGGTACAATTCGAACCAGATGAGAACATTTTGTAAAATATGAACGCTTTTGCAACATAGTTTGTGAAATAATAATTTTTTCCCTTTTTCTTTTCTTTTTTTTTTAAATTCTAATTTATTTTTCCTAGTCGACACCATTCACAAAGCAATTTTCCAATTTGCAACTGACCAATTGCAAAATTGGTTGTCATTTTTTTATATTTTAACCTACTTTTTAAGGCAGGATAAGTGTAAGTCCCTGAAATCGGATCTATCAAAGTATCAATGCAATCGTTTGATTTAATGCGGAATCTTAATCAAACAATTATACGAAACAATCAATTAGATATATCAAGAACACGTTTCAATAACATGAATGCACATAGTTCTATTGAATAACTATCAAGTACATTCAATTACACTTCAGCCGTGAATCACTACTATTCACCAAAAACGCATCATTTTGAATGGCTATACACAGACCATATATATACTAAATCGATAACCTAAAGCCCATACATATAAAGTCCATCGAGAACACACTAAGCCCACAGAAATTACTAGGTGATTTTGGTTCAAAACCGAGAACAACATAATACATTCAAAACAAAGCATAAACCACTAAATATAGCCCAACAATCTCCCGCTTGGTTTATTGATTTCTGTTCTCTTCAAGGTTTCTCCACAAGATGTACATCTGCTTGGTCAAATGTCCCTGCCCATAGCTTCTTGTCGATAAATGTAGCTACCATTCCAGTGAAAGCTTTCACGGAAGCTTCAAATAGTTCATTCTCTACGATAATCTGAAAGTTTGATAAGGTGTAGATATCACGTTCTCCAAAATTCAACAAATCTTTGGGATCAACAATACGAAACTGGTTTTTCTTCAGCTTGATCACCACCGTTGCAGTAGGCTCATCATAAATCCAGAATTATATTGTATCCAAAGTTCCTTCAGGTAGATGCTTGGGAAGAGGAATCCTTTTAGCTTGCCTTGTGGGTGGCCACATGACATTCACCATTGTTTTGTTTGTGCGTAGATCAATGACACCCTTGGCAGCAAACGTTATGAAGCAAATTAATGAGGTTTATCAGCATACACGTTCATGAAAAGCTCTGGTCAATCATTGATATTGTGATCCAGTTAAGCACAAAGGACATTTTTCAGGACAGATCATGAGTGACGATATATAGCTACTATATTCCTAGATAGACCATTTTGTCTGACGACGACCAGGGATATTGTTGTCCACTTAAATTTAGCCAGTAAAATCTACCAGTCAGCCTTTAGCTATGGGTGCAGTTAATGTTATTACACTGGAACATGTTCCCTACTTCATGGCATACCCCGGTAATGAAGGAAATTTCTTCAGAATCCTTTACTTTAGGTGAGTAAATAATCATTGTGGAATGCATATGTGGTGTCCTAGGTCGGATCTACCAATCACGCAGAGGGGACAACATATGACTAACATAGAGAGTAGGATATATGTAGGAGACAATATACTAACTTAAAAGCAGTGAACATCATCTGAGTGCATATGTTGTGTCCCAGGTCGGATCTTCCGATCACGCAGAGGGGACAACATATGGCTCACTAAGAAAGAAAGAATAACGATTTTAAACATACCCAATTTATCAGCACACACGTTCATGAAAAGTTCTGGTCAATCATTGATATTGTGATCCACTTAAGCACAAAGGACATTTTTCAGGACAGATCATGAGTGACGATATATAGCTACTATATTCCTAGATAGACCATTTTGTCTGATGACGATCATGGATATTGTTGTCCACTTAAATTTTGCCAGTAAATTCTACCAGTCAGCCTTTAGTAATGGGTGCAGCTAACGTTAGTACACTGGAGCATGTTCCCCACTTCATGGCATACCCCGGTAATGAAGGAAATTTATTCAGAATCCTTTACTTTAGGTGAGTAAATAATCATTGTGGAATGCATATGCGATGTCCCAGGTCCGATCTACCAATCACGCAGAGTCTTTAAGTGTTCAAAGTTATTTTTCAATTTACTCTCAAGAAAATTCTTAAAGGACCATGCCATCGTATCATTGGTTGGATTGTGGAAAGGTGCGTGAATGAGTTCAGAAATATCAACTTTTGTTCAGGACATGAAGTCGACTTTCCTCTCATAATATTCAATTCTTCCACTTTTTCGCTTCATGATTCACATCTTCTTTTCAGCACCGTATGCCCACATGATGATGCCAAAACGATCAACATATTTGTCTGTGAACTTCCCAGTTTCCCTGAAGAACATTTCAGGGTGATCACCCGGAACATTTTGATCTGAATTCTTCATCAAGAGAATTTTCCCTTTCAGCTGGTCAACCCTAAATTGCTTCTCTCTTCTTTCTTGAGCAGAAAGAGAACCAAAAGATAACAATGTATCAAGATTATCATCTGGAGCAGGTATTGCAGCTCTTTCACCTGAAGATTGAGAAGTTGGATTGGCAGGACCTGAACTAGAAGTAGTGATCTTTTCTCCTTCAGCGCTCAAGGGTTGAAATTCATCACCAAACTTCTGAAATAGGCGTTGTTTCAGATCAAACAATAGAGCAGTTAAACCACCGAGATTTTCTTGAAGCTCTGAGATCTTTGAATCTTTATCATAATTCTCTTTCTCAAGCTCGTTGATTCGAATATCCTGCTTTCCAATTACCAAATCTTTTTCAGCAGAGTTTTGTTCCAGATCAAAGACTTTGTTCTGAAGCTGAACGACATCAACAAATTCAAATTCAGGCAACTTGATTTTGCCTTTGGAGATGTCCAGCTCGGGTGTTTCAAATGAGCTTCCTGAAGCTTGAGCTCCTTCTGAATGTATGACTTATTCTTCAACAACTGGGCTTTGAAAATCCTGATCCATAGGAATGGTATCAGGGAACGGGCTTGGTACTTCTTTAATCACTAGAGAGGTCTCAGTGAATGTGCTTTGTACGTTTTAATCTATAGAACCAGGATCAGTCAGTGTATATTTCTTTTGAACTGGGTTCGTGATAAACACTCCCGGCCTTAGATCTCTTATTTTTCGCTTCCTTGGGAGTGAAACGTAGGTTGAGTCTTCTAGCTCACTTTCAGATGGAGGTTCAGTAGCAACAGGAACTTTTTGGGGAGGCTTCCTTACAGTTCGCTGAAATTATGTTATGAGAGCATCCATCTATGCAGGTTTCAGTATGCAGGATTGCACTGTTGTATCACTTTCCCTTTCAGTCACAACCGGTGGTGTGACAGTTGCATCCTTCTTTGGGTTTGAGATATTTTGCTGAATAAAGTCTTCAAACTCTTTTTCTGTTAATTCATTTTCCTGATCCTCTTGATCTTCTTCATCATCAGATAAATCAATGTCTTCAATGGCAAATTAAAACTTTGGTTTCGGTGCCACGTGTTCGTCGGCAACCTCAGCATTTATTGAACCAACAGCAGGAGTGTATTCAATTTCAGCAAACTTTCGAAATTTAACTAACTCCTTTAATTCTTGATAAGCAACTTTAGCAGACTTTCTCGATTGCTTCATGAGTCCAAAAGTGTTGGGACCCAAAGCTTTCATATTTAATGTATCGGGCGTCCTTTCGGTTTAGGGATATTTTTCATTAAAAATCATTTGAAGGAACCTTGGGTACATCAAAAATAGGTCCTTTTTCTTTCACAGGAGGTTGCTCTTCATTTCTTCGAAGACGAACTTTGTGAAGTTGTAGTCCCAGTCCATTGCTAGAGCAACAATGGTTGAGGTCACATTTTGATTGATTTCGTCAGAGCCTCACTTTATTCCAGAAATCAAACTCACGAAGGAGTGTGCCAGGAACCTCCATTATGGTGGCAGTAGCTTCGTGATAGTGGGAGGATAGTTTCCTTCATAACACATTTTCTCCAGAACTTCCTTAACACGATCAGGAGAGTACTCAATTGGGAATGTGGATGCATCACCAAATTCGAGTACCTCTCGGATAATTTGTTCAGAGATAATCACTTGTGTTCCTTTCACTATTGATTCCACTGTACCAGCTCCATCTGCTCCTAGCTTGTTGATCGAAGCATTTTTCCAGAAATCAGTGATCAAGTCTATGTGAATGACTGGATTGGCACGAAGGGCTTGAGAGATCCTACAGTTGTTCAAACCCACCATCATCGATTTGAATTCTTGATGAGTAGTAGGAGGATCCATGAGATATCCAGCAATGTTGTGAGAGTCTACGAATTTATGTTCTTCTGCCATTTATCTACATCAAACTAGCCAAGTGAGAACTAATTTAAAATTAATTAAATTGAATTTGAAATCTGATTTCGGTCAAAGTCAAGGCCAAAGTAAAAATTCCAGTCAATTTCGGTCAAAGATAATCGATTTCGGTCAAAATCACTTGTTGACCAGATGATTTCGGTCAATGTTGGTTGATTTCGGCAGAGAACCCAGATTTCGATCAGATTGGGTCGGATCTTCATCGGATCTCGGTTGAATCCGGGTTGAACCGAAAACCCGAAATCTCATTGGATCTCGGTTCTATATATATATATATATATATATATATATATATATATATATATATATATATATATATATATATATATATATATATATATATATATATATATATATATATATAACCGAAAAATCGGCCCCGGTGGCCCACCAAAATGATTTCGGCCCAATGAAAAATACCAGTCTTTAATAAAAAGATTTCTTTCGATTTTACGTTTCAATAACCAAATACGAAAATAAAAATAAAATTAAACATTTTTTTATGAAAGAATTTCTCCCCCTAAATTTGTGCATAACAGTGAAAATATGTACAAATTTATACAAATAAAAAACAAAAAATGTAATAAACAGATTCTAATAAAAACAAAAAAATTTGGGATCAAACGTTATGTAGCAAATTAATGATGTTTATCAGCACACACGTTCATGAAAAGCTCTGGTAAATCATTGATATTGTGATCCACTTAAGCACAAAGGACATTTTTCAGTACAGATCATGAGTGACGATATATAGCTACTATATACCTAGATAGACCATTTTGTCTGACGACGACCAGGGATATTGTTGTCCACTTAAATTTAGCTTGTAAAATCTACCAGTCAACCTTTAGTTATGGGTGCAGTTAATGTTAGTACACTGGAACAAGTTCCCCACTTCATGGCATACCTCGGTAATGAAGGAAATTTCTTCAGAATCCTTTACTTTAGGTGAGTAAATAATCATTGTGGAATGCATATGTGGTGTCCTAGGTCGGATCTACCAATCACGCAGAGGGGAAAACATATGACTAACATAGAGAGTAGGATATATGTAGGAGACAATATACTAACTTAAAAACAGTGAACATCATCTGAGTGCATATGTTTTGTCCCAGGTCGGATCTTCCGATCACGTAGAGGGGACAACATATGGGAGACTAAGAAATAAAGAATAACGATTTTAAACATACCCAATTTATCAGCACAGACGTTCATGAAAAGCTCTGGTCAATCATTGATATTGTGATCCACTTAAGCACAAAGGACATATCTCAGGACAGATCATGAGTGACGATATATAGCTACTATATTCCTAGATAGACCATTTTGTCTGACGACAATCAGGGATATTGTTGTCCACTTAAATTTAGCCAGTAAAATCTACCAGTCAGCCTTTAGTTATGGGTGCAGTTAATGTTAGTACACTAGAGCATGTTCCCCACTTCATGGCATACCCCGGTAATGAAGGAAAATTCTTCAGAATCCTTTACTTTAGGTGAGTAAATAATCATTGTGGAATGCATATGTGGTGTCCCAGGTCGAATCTACCAATCACGCAGAGTCTTTAAGTCTTCAAAGTTATTTTTTGCTTTACTCTCAAGAAATTTCTTAAAGCACCATGCCATGGTATCATTGGTTGCATTGTGGAAAGGTGCGTGAATGAGTTCAGAAATATCAACTTTTGTTCAGGACATGAAGTCGACTTTCCTCTCATAATATTCAATTCTTCCACTTTTTCGCTTCATGATTCACATCTTCTTTTCAGCACCGTATCCCTACATGATGATGCCAAAACGATCAACATATTTGTCTGTGAACTTCTTCCCAGTTTCCCTGAAGAACATTTCAGGGTGATCACCCAGAACATTTTGATCTGAATTCTTCATCAAGAGAATTTTCCCTTTCAGCTGGTCAACCCTAACTTGCTTCTCTCTTCTTTCTTGAGCAGAAAGAGAACCAAAAGATAACAATGTATCAAGATTAGCATCTGGAGCAGGTATTGCAGCTCTTTCACCTGAATATTGAGAAGTTGGATTGGCAGGACCTGAACTAGAAGCAGTGATCTTTTATCCTTCAGCGCTCAAGGGTTGAAATTCATCAACAAACTTCTGAAATAGGCGTTGTTTCAGATCAAAGGATAGAGCAGTTAAACCACCGAGATTCGCTTGAAGATATGAGATCTTTGAATCTTTATCATAGTTCTCTTTGTCAAGCTCGCTGATTCGAATATCCTGCTTTCCAATTACCAAATCTTTTTCAACAGACTTTTGATCCAGATCAAAGGCTTAGTTCTGAAGCTGAACGACATCAACAAATTCAGATTCAGGCAACTTGCTTTTGCCTTTGGAGATGTCCAACTCGGGTGTTTCAAATGAGCTTCATGAAGCTTGAGCTCCTTCTGAAGGTATGGCTTCTTCTTCAACAATTGGGCTTTGAAAATCCTGATCCATAAGAATGGGTTCAAGGAACGGGCTTGGTATTTCTTGAATCACTAGACAGGTCTCAGTGAATGTGCTTTGTACGTTTTGATATATAGAACCAGGATCAGTCAGTGTTGATTTCTTTTGAACTGGGTTCGTGATAAACACTCCCGGCCTTAGATCTCTTCTTTTTCGCTTCCTTGGGAGTGAAACGTAGGTTGAGTCTTCTAGCTCACTTTCAGATGGAGGTTCAGTAGCGACAGGAACTTTTTGGGGAGGCTTCCTTACAGTTCGCTGAAATTATGTTATGAGAGCATCCATCTGTGCAGGTTTCAGTATGCAGGATTGCACTGTTGTGTCACTTTCCCTTTCAGTCACAACCGGTGGTGTGACAGTTGCATCCTTCTTTGGGTTTGATATATTTTGCTGAATGAAGTCTTCAAACTCTTTTTCTGTTAATTCATTTTCTTGATCCTCTTGCCCCTCTTGATTGTCACACCCCCAAACCTAGGATGGCGGAAACGTCCGGGGGTGGAGGACTTCATGTATAGTATCACAACAACGAATATAATAATGCTCAAAGTATAGACGACCAACATAAATATAATTGAAAAAGTTACATCATAGTATATGTTTACATGTTTCTGAATCAATTACATTATGTTGACAAAAATACAATGTTTGACGCCTTAGCGTTCCATCCTCCAAAAGCGGCCAATTACCTGATTACTGATTTCCTAAGAATACAAGTAGTTTTGAAGAAGTGTCAACAATTAAGTTGGTGAGTTCATAAGAGTTTTGTTTGAGTATAAAGCCGTTTTCTTTGTAAAAACAATAGAGTATGATTCCAGAAAATCCGATATTTTCCTTATAAAAGTCATGTAGTCTTAAAAGTCACGACCGAAATGTACAAGTATTTTTCCATACTTAAAGTAATTCATGCAAGTTTAAATTGACATAAACTCGTTTAATTTAGAAGTAAAACCCGTAAATCTTATGTTTTGTTAATACCCCATGTGAGTTATTATAACCATACTAAGACTCAGACGGCCTCCTAATACAACGTTCTTCAGGCGTCGCAAGTTAAATGACACTTGTCACCTCAGACCTGCCGGTCTAGCTGTTGCATGCAGCTCAGGTGCGGGTTTGTCAGACCCAATATAGATCTATACACAACTATCACGCTCTCCCTACAAGAGACTCTGGTTACAATTTACAGGACTTTTGACTTTGTTACTATGAAGGTAACACGAAGCGAATGTCTCACAAATTTATTCATTAACAGATTTACGAGAACTGAACTGAAAATCTATTGGTAATGAGTTTGACTGGTTAATGAAACATAAACTATACTTATTATAGTTTAACATAATTGTTTGTAATGTGTATGAAACATAAACTATACTTACCATAGTTTATCATAAGTGTTTGTAATGTAAAAGAACCTTTTTCTGTGATGTAGATTTATAGCAAAAACATAACTAGGTTTATTATGCCTCATTTTGTAATAATAAGGATTTTTACAAATAAATGACTATTTTTCTGTTATATAATTTTATCATAACAGAAAACACATGCAAAATATGAAGTCATCAAGGTTTAACACTTTGCTCAACATGTTACAAGTGTTATGAAAGTTGTAAACTGTAAATTCGTTTTTACCATTATTACACGGATTTAGAAAATCACAGAAAATTCATACGAAACCGAAAACTAGATCCGTAAACTTTTAGAGTTTAGAAAATGTGTCTAGTTTGTTCATAATTTTTATTATGATTTTTAGAAGTTGCTAACTGGTGTGAAAACGTTCATATTCACTGACTGGTCCGAATTCGTAGCTATAGTGATAGGCAGTTTTGTAAAAATCACCATAATTAGTAGAAAAGTTGTATGAACGTGTGCAAGTAGTAATTTTAAAGGTATGAACCTGAACTATTTTCATCTAATACAGTTTTGAAATCTAAAATGTTTAAGCTGACCAAAACAGTCCGTGAATGGAGTTAGACTTTTATGATGAAAGCTGTTGAACGAGTTTAGTTGTGTTCTTGGTGTTTTAACTTGTATTCCCCACCTTAAAACTTAAGAAAAACATGAAAAGATAGGGGTATGAACTCACCTTGTGTGATTTCAGTGGGTGGATGTTGAAGAAAGGTAG